TGCTGACTTGCAGGGAGCACAGCCAAGCAAGTGTGACGTGGGGTCAGTGGCCAGCCAGCTCCAGGAGATCTGTCCTGGGAGGAGTGATAGCTTGGTTAGAGTCAGTTTGGCTTGATTTGACCTGCTGTGTGCTCAGAAAGAGTTCTGCTAAAAGGGTCTGCGAGGGCTGCTGCTGGGGCTGGCAAACATGGGTTTGAAATGTCTGTGGGTCTAGTGGTCTCAGGTCTGCACTACAGCCAGGCAGGCCCTTGTGCTTTGGCACCAGACTCTGCATTTCCTAGAGAGGCAAACAAAAGCATGTCAAGGCAAAAGCTGCAAGAACTACATCATATTTCTGATGAGCTTCTCAGCTGTCCCTGGGAGTCAGCAATGTGTTCGCCAGTACTTGGCCATGCTGATGCAGAGTGCTGCTTTTCAGACTTTACAGTTTTAAGGTCCTGCAACTTTTAACAAGTGGGAGAATAAACTTTTCTCAGCAACACGTGAGCTGGGGGGATGCACTCAGCTGGTGATGTTCTATCGCCATGGGATGTGTCAGTCCAACAGCCATGTGTTTGCTGGCTGGGCCATAAATGAGCCTGTCTTTCCAAACCCTGTGGTATTTTATGCATCCAGACTTGTATCTAAATCAGGAATAAGACTATTGCTCACACAGGCAGATGCTGCCTTGCACGTGTTTGTCTCACCTTTGGCTCCTCAGGGGAATGTTCAGTATAAATGGGAGTATCACATCTGCGATCTTACAGGAGCTGCAGTTGGGAGATTTGTCCACTTCCACCGCGAAGGACAACATCCTCTGGAGCAGGAGCATCACCCTAGGTTAGAGAAACAGTCAGTGCTAGGAGACACTACCCCTCGGCTTACAAAGTAAAGCAGTGGGGGTGGCACCTAGTTCAGCCTCATGCCTTGCAGTGAGGGACACAGGGGATTGTGGCAGCCTAGATTTGGTGTCTCTTGGTGGCTTTTGAATCTGATGCTCTTGGAAGCAGAGCTAATCCCTAGATGGGCCCTCAGGAGGTCTCGGTGGCTGGGCTGAGCATTGGTGGAGCAGCATGGGGCAGCCAGGGCAGTGGGCCAAGAGCTCCAGCCTTATGATACATGTAAGAGGATGCTCACTGAGCCATTTTCCTACTAGGTGAGGAAGTCTCTTGCTCACCAAGTGTATGTCTACCCAAAAGGAGAACTTCAGGTACAGCCTGGCTTCCCTGACCTGACAAGGAGAGACTCTGGCTTCTCCGTGACTTGGGCCCCATGATACTGACTGCAGGGAGCCAGGACTTCTGGGGCTTACTTCTGGGCGAAGAAAGCTGGTGAAGACACCTCTGCCTGGTGAGTGCTGGCGAGCTCTGGTGCAGATGAGCTGTGTTTGGCCCTTGCTTCTGCTGAAGAGGATGCAATATCTTGCAGCTGCTCCTGGGGCTGGGAGAACCCGACTCCTGTAACTGCTGCGACCAGCCATGCGACCACCTCCCTGGGACAGAAACAGGAATGTTAGCAGGGCCAGGCATGGTTTTGCTGCATTCTGACCTCTAGATCCACTTGGAGCTCAAGGAAAGACCCCAAGGATGAAGAATACGTCCCATCTGCTTGGACAGCCTAGGGAGTAGCTCTGTTGAGCGGCAGATTTATATGCTTGTCAACAGGACTGCCTGCTTCTCAGTCCTGACCCGAGCAATGCAAATCTGACCTCGTTCCTGGGAAAAACCTGCTAGGTTGTGGCTTGCAATGTCTTGCATCATCTACGGTGGTTTGCTTTTGTAAACCTGCTCCTGTTCGTTATACTCGGGCCCTACACTGCCCTCATCTCCCAAGCTTGTTTCCTGGAAAGTCTGAAAGTCTAACCTGAGGTCTCGACAAGTGTTTCCTGAGCCCTTGCCTCTCAGCATTTGATCAGAGAATAGGGGAGGAGGGGGCGTCCCTTACTTGACATTGTTGAAGCACATGTCACACGAAAGCACTTTCTTGGCAATTGACTTCTGCAGCAGGCGCAACCTCAGCTTCTGCTGGAAGTCGTCCTCCAGGGTCTGCACCACGTACTGTAGGAAGAAGAGCCGGCCAGGGGGCTTCTCCTGAGGGCAGATGGAGATAGTATGAGCCTAGCAGAGCTGCAGGGTGAGAAGCACCAGGGAGTTTGGCTGTCTTAGGAATGGGCTCATGTACATGACAGAGGAGTAGCTCCAGGAGGGGATGCCTGGCTCAGGCGATGCCCCGGGGGCTTGGCTGGACCTGATCTACCATTGCACTAGGGCTGTGGCCCACAGAGGCTTTGTCTGTTGCTGTGTCTTCTTCAGATGAGGTAACCTGTCCTCAGCTGTGCAGCAGGTTAGGGAGCACCACAGAGAAAAGCAAGAGACCCAACTGGCATTTGCTGCCCTCAGCGGCTGCAGTAAAGCTGCACGTTGGACTGGCCCATTCTGCAGCAGAGCATGGCCATGAGGCCCTGGGGCAAAGCTTACCCTCAGGCACCACGTCCTGGATGATCCATGCCTGAGGTGACACACGCAGTGCTAAGTACCTGGTTCTCCATGATGCATTTCAGCAGCGTCCAGTCCCATCCCACTGTGGCAGCGTTGGCTGGATGGAGCCTGCAAGGACAGCACTGTCCATTTGTGTTGAACTGCCCTGGAAGCACACAAGCCCCTGGCCCTTCCCCAGTCCCACTTGCTCAGGGCCCTGCCCTGCCTTCTCCTGTCCAGCTTTGCCCTCTCCTTTTCTCCTTCCCTGACCACATTAATTTTTTGGAAGCATCTGACTGGGCTGTACTGCATGGAGTGCATTGGTACCGCTGGGCCCACGGCATCACAAACATCGTGCCTCTCTGTGGGAACCTTAAGGGCAATGGGGGAACCCCTCCAGCCAGGTGCAGCCCACGGGCCCTGCTGCAGCCCAGGGAAGGCACTTCTGCCATGTCACAGCAGTGAAGAATGAGAGCTGCTCTTTGGGAGCAAGGCAAACACACTCCTCTGTCCCAGAGGGCTCCCTGGTCTCATAGGCCACCCCTGCACTCTGTGGACTTCTTACTAAACGATTAAAGTGCACTCATGACACAGCTGAGCTGCTTTGCCTCTTGTCTCAGCATCCCCTGCCCTCTCACCCCACCATCCTCCATCCATTTGGGGGTTTAGTGGCTGCTGTCTGGGCCAGCAATGGTTCTGACCCACGCTCAGACAGCCCAGGGTGTGTCTGTGCTGATAACAGGAGGATCATCCTGGGTTACAGGGGAAATTGCTCCTTGTTCTGTGGGTGAGGACCACGGATAATAGCCTTTTGCTACCCAGGCCCCCAGGAGCACCTAGGCAGCCCCAGGACACTGTGGCAAAGGGAACACATACATTTGGATCTTCATCAGCAGCATGTAGGTGTCCGTCAGGATCTCCCTTTGGTGGGGGTTCAACAGGATCTGTCTGATCAGGTGGGAGATGATTTCTTTGGGTGGACAGTGCTGGCAGGAGACGAACTCGTTCAGGAAATGCAAGGTGCCCTCTGGGAAGTTCTCCTCCATGGTGGTGCGCACCATGCTCAGCTTCCCACTGGGGATGGGCTCAGGTTTCTGCTGCATGCAAGGCAAGGCAATGGGTGAAAGCCAGCTCCCCGTCAACACAGAAGAACCCAGCTGTGATGTGGGGCCCACTGGGAAGGAACTGCAATAACCAGAGATCCCAATTGCCTGGCAAAGCTTCCCCTAAAAGGGGAAGCAGAGCAGTGGCGGCCCCTGCTCCATCCTCTACTGCAGAGGCTTCTCTGAGCAGGCTCTGGCTAGGCTTGGCAGCAGCTGCTCTGGACCTTGTTTACCTGTTTTGTTTCCCTGTTGGGTGCTACGCCTTGGAGGAAGAGGTGCTCGACTCCAGTCCTCCTGAAATAGTGCAGTTTGTTCAGCCAGATCTTGTTGTCAGCCTTGGTCCTGGCTGGCATCACTTGTTGGATTGCTCTGTCATCTTCTTCCAGCAAAGACCCTTGAGCCTTCCCTGGGATTGTGGGGGTGGCTGGGGCAGGGCTCAGCCTCGGGGGCAGCTCCCTTTGCTGGCAGAGGTGGGGAGTCTCTTCCTCTGGGCCATCGCCTCTCCAGCTGCTGCTGCTGCTCAGGCTGGAGGGGGACAGGGAGAACAGGTCCGAGTCCAGCTGCATGCTGGCCAGGGAGCCCAAGTCACTGTTAAAAGTGGTTGTGCTGCAGTTCTGCTCCGGGCTGGAGGAGGAGCTACGGTGGTTGGAGGCAGGAGAGAAGCAGCTCCAGTTCTCTGTGTTTCCTGCTGTGTCTGTGGTGGCACTGGGCTCTGCAGGAGTGCTGTGCCGGGGTGCTGCAGGGCTCAGCCCCGACATTGCCTCTGTTTCTGGCATTATGGTGGAGTAGAGCCAGGGATGGGACGTGGGTGCTGCTGAGGCAGCAGGTGCCTGCCCAGGGTCCTGGTCATCCTGGCTGGTGGTGTGGGGAGGGCTGCATGCGTCCTCTGTCAGGTCGATGATGGTGAGGCTGCTCCACCATGCCGGGTCCGTGCCCATGTCCTCACAGGTCAGATCGATGACCTCCTGTGGGGATAGAGGGGCCAGTGTTGTCAGTGATGGTGGTAGTTGGGTGCCTCTGTCCTCCCCTGCCACGGACCTCTGCTATGGTGGCACTGTCGCCCCAGCCCTGAGGGAAAAGGGGCTCATTGGCACCAGCCCAAGAAACCAGGGACAAAGATCGATGACCTCTAGTGTTGACCTCCCCTGACAGCCTCTCCTGGCAGAGACAAATCTCCCGCTCCCCCCAGGGCTCCTTACAGCGAATGGCTGAGTCCTCTCCTCCAAACACCTCCCGCCTTGGCCCAGAGCGGGCCTGGCTGCCTGCTCAGCTCCCTCCCCGGATGGGGAAACGCCAGCCCCACTGGGGTGCCCAGGGCGAGCACGGGGAGCACCGCAAGCGCTCCTGTCCCCAGGGACTCCTGCCTGGCCCCAGCAGGAGCAGCGCAGGATCCAAACCTCGGCACCTGCCCTGTGGCACAACCTCAGCTGCTACGTGGACATGAGTGGCAGGGGACC